CCTCCCAGCACCCATTGCCGGCTCATGTCCAGCTTTTCATCCATCAGTACCCCAAGTCCCTCTCGGCAGGGCTGCTCTCCATCCTTTCTTCCCCCAGGCTGTATGGATACTGGGGGTTACTCTGACCCAGGTGCAGGACCTCGCACTTGGCCTTGTTGAACCTCATGAGGTTCACACAGGGCCACCTCTCCAGCCTGTCCAGGTCTCTTTGGATGACATCCCATCCTTCTGGCATATAATACCGGTCTGGTAAGTGACATTTCCACAAAACCACCTGAATTGCTGTTAACAATGCTATCACCCCTTGCCAATCTGCAGGTACCTCCTACTGTATGCTGATCTTAATAATGAACTTATGATCATTATTAAGCTAAGTGCCCCAATTTTATTTACGTCATTTCACAGGTCCAGTAAAAATACTGATGTGATAGCTTCCCCCTGCCCCATAGAGTTCCCCTCCAATTTTCCTGGCATTCAAAGTATAACTAAAAATTACATCAGTTGGCCAGGCAGCTCCTCAGCTGATTGCTTTAAAGTTCTCTGGTGGAAGTTGCCCATTAAAATGAAAAGCTTTGCAGAGCCTATTTAAAATCCTTTCTGCTTATTGCTTGATTAGAAAGCACTTAACTCTTTAAGAAGCCGAGTATTGATTACAAATGATAGATTATTCCATAGTTACTAAATAGTTCTAACTGTGTTGCATTGGTATCAACAAATGAATTGGTTCCACTGCTTGGAACCTCCAGCCATTAGTCCTGAGAGCAAGCCGATGCTAGCCGTTTTGCCGTTGACTTAGATCTGATTGGTATTCTTTTAAGAAAGTTTCTGTCTTTAGAAAAAATCCCTAAGAAAACTAGCGTACCTTCAGATTGTCTCTCCGCTTCATCTATATCTTAAAAACGCTGAATTTTTAATTGCCCAGTATTTACTGGTAACTACATAACCAGGTAGGTAGCTGGTAGAGTACAGCTCCTTATTAAATACAATGCATTATTTAATTTATGTGCTATGTGTCTGGTTTTCTGCTGAGGAATAAGAAAAAAAATTCTTCCTACCTAAATAACCAAGTTCTCCCTTACACAAGCGTCAGTTCTCCACTACGGACAAGGACAACCATGGATGAGGACAGCTGATTGCTTGCCAAAGCATTCTCACGGATTATTTGTGCTTTGAAAGGTAAAAGACAGTGCTATAAAAAAAAAAAAGTGATCAAAACCACCACCACGCAGCGATGGGGACAGTCTCTGTTATATGCAGAGGTGTAATCCAACTACGGCAAAAACGTCCTCTCTCTTTTCCCGAGGGAACCTGCAGAACTGAGCTGCAGACTCCACCACCGCTTCTGTTGCCTGGCTACTGTTCTTTTGGCAGGTGCACAAATTGGCTGGCAACCCGCGAACTTTGCTCCAAGGTAACAAGGCTCAACGTGAGCTGTAGGAACCAACACCTAAATCTCAAATTTTCCCAAAGTTTTATCACATACAATTACCTAGACAAAGATGTAGCTTATGTGCATGAACTGCTGCCTGAACGACTTAAGAACTGTTTCGTCTACAAACCATTTTTCTCTGGAAGAGTCTTCGATCAAATCCACTCAATAGTAAACAAATCCAGCGAGGGCGATTAGAGGTAACAGATCTGGGAGAAAGCAAAAGGTTGTGTTTGAGGTATTCGGTATCTTACATACAGGACTGATTTATGCAGGGCAGGGAGAATTTTTAAAAGAAACTTATTTGTTAAATAAAAAGAAGTTAACCTGAATGAAGATAGAATAGCCCTAATATGTTCAGACTCCTAGCCGGCGACCTCTGTGGCATATATACAGCTTTACTCAAAGGCTCACAAAACAGGACAGAGGACTATAAACTATCAGCAGTGAGTTTGGAAGGAACACTGGTGATCATTTATTTTGACCACCTGCATAACACAAAGCCAAATAAATTCCGCAGATTAATATATGCTTGAAAAAGGGCACAATTACTTAGATATGGCCCAGCTTTCATCTTAAATGTGGCCAGAGATGGAGAATCCAAAGGGCTAGATGAGTTGCTCTGGAGGTTAATTGCCTCACAGCTAAGAAAAAAAAGACTCCTCCTCTGGCTGGATTCTTCCACCTTTAACTTTCTGCCACCGGATCTTTGTTTTGTTTCTTATTACTATGCAGACTTCCAGCGCGTCATCACTTGGCCTGGTTTTGTGTCTGACCAAACATTCTACGCCCTTCGAGTCTTCCCTTCTACCCTTCATTCATTCTCAGTGCTTTTCCAAACCCTATTGTTTATGCACATCCTTCTTTAATGGGACACAACGCAGTTTTATTGGTAACCCTCTTTCAGTTCGCTCGTTTAGAGAACTCACATAATTACGTTTTGACACCCAGATGGACTAATTAAGCATTGGAGTAGAAAACATGGGATGCAAAAGACTATGGAGCTTAATATTTCAGTACGTTGGGGAGAAACTCAGGCATCTAGAAAATGCTAAACCGGTATGTGCTAATTTGCTGTGCACTGCTACGGTATTTTCAGTGCTGGTATTTCAGAGGAAACCCCCTGATCTCACCTATCTGTGCTTCTGCCCCATCCTTAGACTAGCAAGAACATTTGTTATATATTACCAAAATAATATAAACTTGCTACTTTGATACTGCTGCTTAAGAATTGTACGGGTTTTTGGTAGTGACACTATACCTGGAGCTCTACCTTAGATGATTCCCAGGATGACTGCTGCTTTTTAATATAATCTAGTTGCCCCAAGCTGTAAATACAACCTGAGCAAGCTGAGCTTGTTCAGACCAGTGAATAAAAGGCACAGAGGGGGATCTAACAGCAACCTGCCCAAACCTAAGAGGAAGGTAATGAAGAAGATGGAGCCAGGTTCTCACAGCAGTGCATAGCGGGAGCAAGAGAGCCACAGGCTTAAGCTGAAACAAGAGAAGTTCAGACTGGACTGAAGAAAAACTTTTCCATCATGAGGCCAGCTAAGCAGTGGCAGAGCTTGCCCGGCAAGGCCGTGTATCTTTGTCCACAGAGGTTTCCAAAACCAGATTGGAAAAAGCCAAGAGCAACCTGGTCAGACCTCCTAGCTCAGCAGGCTTTGAGCAGGAGGTTGGACAAGAGACCCCCCGAGGTCCCTTGAATCCAAATGATTCCGGGATATTAAAAACCCCATCGTTTACACTTTCGGCACGTGCTCTGCTTATCGAGTGACTGCGATCACAATATAATGGGTCTCCTTACCCACTTGCCATGCCTGTCATCTGTGAACTTTGTTACGGTTTTGTTTGCTTTCGGCTCATTCAAAGCTGTTCATTAGCACAGCGCAAAGAGTAGGTGCCTGCTGGGCACAACCCAAAGCGCGCTGGCTCTACGGCTACTCTGCTTCACAATTCTGGTTTTAAAACTATTGCTTAGCACATGTTGAAAACAGGCTACGATGATTTTACATTCCTCAGCTTTCTGAATCAAAATGTCCTACACTACCAGCTGAAACACTTCACAGGCTACTGTACACACCAGCACGATCAGCTTTATCAGTGACATACCTAGTCCCATCAAGAGAAGATAAAAATAGGTATCGTAACTCATTTTTTTAAAAAAATCAATACTGATCATCTTGCTGGATGCTGGTTGCTGCTGCTACCACCAGATCACCCAGGCGCACAGGTCCAGGAATTAACAGGCAGAAAAATACAGTTCACTGTGACGCTGAAAAGGCCAGGACTGCGGCTGCGGCAGCCAGTTCTAACCAGCTTCTTTCTATTCCTTGCCCCAGGAGTTTGCTTTTTCCTGCTTCTACAGCGCTCAGTAGAAGGTAGAAAGACTCGGGTTTCTGGAAGAGTTTTTCCTGAAACATGCACACTTACGTCTTGTAACTCTGCTTTCCAAGCTCTCCACAACTCAGTTGGAAAAGGGCCCCAGACCTTTCCACAACATCGCTACGCCATGTGGCTGGGCAGTGCCCTGGACCAAAAAAAAAGCCAGCACAGTGCGGTGGCACCACTGTAATCTGCCCGACGTCCTGGGGCACGCATCACACTTCCAGTAAATGCCATCCAGACTGCCTCAGACCGATGCACTTGCTTTACAAATGTAAATCCTCGGTGCTCCATTGGTCCCACTGAAACACGACATTTGCTACTGAAGAGGGCTCCAATCTCGAGTACAAAAGTGTGATAAGACATAGTGCTTCACATTCTTTCACTGTGACACAATTAAAAAAAAAAAAAAAAAATTCCAGCTATCTAATCGGGTGCAGGAGAAGTGCAGCAAGATCAGCTGTCAACAGCGCTGCACAAAGCGCAGCGGGAAGCATAAATCAGAAAAAGGCAGAACTCGTTGAAGATAAATGGTGAGTTCCAGCACATTCACCGTACGTTTACAGGACGCACAAAGCTACTTCAAAGCAGCTGATGGAAACTCAGACACTGCCAGAACGGCTTGGAATGGTGTGTCCGGTTCAAGGGACACCTCAACAAACTGGGGAGGTTTTACGGAATGACGGGGGAACTGATACCTCGCCGTGTAACGAGGACTGAGGGGGCAGCCACTACATAAACATTCACTTTTAAAATTCCTGGTGTCCATAGCTTATATTTGCCAAAGGTCGCAATGCGGCTTGAAGAAAAAGTCATGGGCATGATGATCGTTTGAAAGAATCATAGAATCCTAGAATGTTTTGGGTTGGAAGGGACCCCCAGAGGTCACCCAGCCCAACCCCCCTGCAGGAGCAGGGACACCGCTAACCAGATCAGGCTGCTCACAGCCCCGTCCAACCTGGCCTGGAATGGTTCCAAGGATGGGGCCTCCACCCCCTCTCTGGGCAACCCCTGCCAGGGTTTCACCACCCTCACTGGAAAGAATTTCTTCCTTAGATCCAGTCTAAATCTCCCCTCCTTTAGTTTAAAACCATCACCCCTTGCCCTGTCACAGCTGGCCCTGCTAAAAAGATTGTCCCCATCTTTCCTGTCGTCCCCCTTTAAGCCCTGACCGGCCGCACTCAGCTCTGCCCGCAGCCTTCTCTTCTCCAGGCTGAACAGCCCCAACTCTCCCAGCCTGGCCTCAGAGCAGAGGGGCTCCAGCCCTCGGATCATTTTAGTAGCCCTCCTCTGGCCCCGCTCCAACAGCTCCATGTCCTCCTTGTGCTGAGGGCTCCCGAGCTGGACGCAGGGCTCCAGGGGAGGTCTCCCCAGAGCAGAGCAGAGGGGCAGAATCCCCTCCCTCGACGCTGGCCACGCTGCTCTTGATGCGGCCCAGGGTAGGGTTGGCTTCGGGGCTGCCAGCGCCCATGGCCGGCTCATGTCCAGCTTTCCCTGTTTCATTGTCTAGTCTGTGAAACAGCTATTGTAAGAGGAATTGGTCAAGCAGGTCCATCAAATGTCCTTCTGTTTGCTGTCCCAATCACCTGCGTACCATCATTGCAGAGCAGCAGAATTATCCACAAAAAGCGCACCAGGTTGCGTGTTCAGTGGCTTATTTCAAAAGAAGTTTATAGCAAATTACCAGCACTGTAAAAACATAACTGGGCATTGCTGTTATTCCACTTTGACTTGCGTTCTGTCCTAGATGATGAACAGAATTAAATACTTCAGAGGAGGCTTTCTGCTAATTTTTAATAGGTAGAGAGCAACAAAAATCATGGCTTAGCTGGCTTTCCAATTCCTACAAAAATTGCTCCATTCTAACTCCTGACAGCTTGTTCCCATACATATATCCAACCTGTTTTGGAATCTTAGCAGATTCTCCATTTTAAATGGGATTCTGCAGCAAGAATTAACAGCTCAGTCGAGCGTTCTGCAGAGAACAGGAGGAAAACAGCCTTTCGCATTCACCACTGTCCCGTCACCCACTGTATCCTGCTTGTTTCTGCAGATTATTAAAATGGCCAAACAGTTGCTCCAAAGAGAGGACTGTCGTAGAGAATATAGAATATTTATGGCATTCAAATATGATATTCTGTAATTAACATCATCACTGGGATCCAGCTTCTGATGCTCCCCATCAAGCATGCTCCCACGACAAGACGTAGCTGCTCTGAGCTGCTACGTTGCTTCATCTCGGCATGCCGCACGCAGTGTTTTCTTTCCATTCTACTCCTGCCCGGAGTAGCTCTTCCGGATTTCCATGCCTGCCAAACTCTACTGTCTCCCGATGATTTATTTTTTTGGGTTATTATCTCCTTTGAATTTCAATTTTCTTGCATTCTGAATTACGCTGACTGGTGTCAGTGATTAATAAATAGATACTGGTGACAATCAAAGGGCCTTTCCACTAAAGCACCTGCACAATCCCTCTGAAATGCTGGGAGGCTGCTGGCTGGAACCGTGGCGTAAGGAACTGCACGTTAAAGCTCCCGAGGTTTCCCCAAGGGGAAGAGGAGGTCACGGTTGATCTTTATACTAATTTAATGTCACCATGGAACGGGTATTAATGAATTCCTTATTCCAGATGACACCTGCTAAGGGGCATGGCTTAGTATCCCTCCCTGCAGCTATCCTGCATCCTGACGCATCCATCCTTCCTGACCAAACTGCCTCCGGCCAGCCCCACAACCCACCGGAACGCCCCCGAACGGGAGCTCTCTGATGAGACTGTCTTTTCCCCTACGCCTGCTCGGTTCTTTCATGGCTCCCACTATGGGCAGCCACGGCAAATTTTTCAGAAGCCCGTCATACCACCCCGGCCACATCCTCTCGCCCGCATGCCAAGGGACGGGGCCATCCCGCTGCGAGACAACTGCGGCACGGCTGAACATGAGGGTCTCAGCTCGCTTCTTGGGCTGGGACATCTTGATGAACATGCAGCCGATGAGGAACTCATCCACGATGGAGCCCAGCAGCGACTGGAAGAGGAAGAGCACGATGCCCTCGGGGCAGCGCTCGGTAATGTAGCGGTGCCCGTAGCCAATGGTGGCCTCGGTCTCTATGAAGAAGAGGAAGG